GGATAAACTCCGACCTTTGGCGGTTGACATTTTGGTGGTTGAGTAGGGGGCAAATATGTGCTTGGAACCGGTCGAGGAGTGGTCGTTGATGGTGGCAATTCAAACTTGATTGCTGGCGTTGGATATTCATATCCCGTTGGTTTTGGTGGCTACAATATGAAATGCAGTTATAAATATTTTATGCAGCCAAACGTGTGACTTTTCTGAATTCTCGGCTCAATGTGTGAATATTGCGTATGATTCATGAAATGAAAAGCTAAATACATCATAGAAAGAAGAATTAAGACTTACAGCAGGTGTAATGGGAGGTAGGTATGTTTTTGGGAATGATTTTTGGGTTGTAAAAGCTTTTGGGGGAATGGTGAATTTCTTTTGTGGGACTGGATAAAAATATCCTTGCGGTTTTTGTGTGCGGGGTGGAATATACGGCTAAAGCAGGAAATATGTATGTGTTGTGATTTAAAGTAGGAAGTAATTGCGTTTCTTTAGATACTATTTTTAAAACCAAGAAGCAGTGAAGAGTATCAAAGTATTGAGAGTATAAGATGAAAGTTGCGCATTTTTTCTTCAAAAATTCATTATTTTTATTATCAAAAAATATAGTTCCCGCAAATGTTTTTTTTTGGATCATAATTTAGCAATTTAAATGCGATGAAAGAATTGTGTATTTTTAATAATGACAGATCAAATACAGTAAATTTTTCGTTTCTCTTTAATATACCATAGCTGTTACTGTCAAACAAATAGCGCGTTAATAAAAGGAAAGGTAATCACAAATGCACGACTTTCAACTTATATTTCCAAATTGGAACTTCCAATATATTTGAAATATCAAGTCATTTCCAACTGTTTTGCATATTTATTTGAACTTACTGCGGATGTAGTAGGCCTAAAACAATTTGGATATGATCCAATAAAACCTGCTGGACACTCGGGCAAACGACAATTTGGATATGAGCCAATGAAGCCTTGTGGACATTTTGGTGGTTGAGTGGGGGGCAAATATGTGCTGGGAACCGGTCGTGGAGTGGTCGTTGATGGTGGTAATTCCAACTTGATTACTGGTTTTGGATATTCATAACCTGTTTGTTTCGGCGGTATATACAAGGGCTGAAAGGAATTTTGGAGAAAATATCTTAATAAAGTAAAATAATACAAATCAAATTCATTTGAATTAATTCATTTCATTCTTGAATATCAAACGAAACAATTATCTTTTGCTTAAGAATAATACGTTTCTTAAACGTTCAATAAAACGTCTCACTTACCGCTGATGTGGTTGGCCTATTGCAGTTCGGATAAATTCCAGAGTAGCCAGGTGGGCATGGAGGTAACTGACAGTTGGGATAAACTCCGACCTTTGGCGGTTGACATTTTGGTGGTTGAGTAGGGGGCAAATATGTGCT